GGAGGAGGAAGGAGGAGGAGGAGGAGGCGGAGGCGGAGGCGGTGGAGGAAGAGGAAGGAGGGAGGAGGTAGCGGCAGGAGGAGGAGGAGGAGGATGAGGAGGAGGAGAAAAGGAGGTGAGGAGTAGGAGGAGGAAGAGAGAGGAAGAGTGGAGGAGTGAGAGAGGAGGAGGAGGAGGAGGAGGAGGGTTGGAGGGGGAGGAGGAGGAAGAGGAGGAGGAGGAGAGGTGAAGGAGGTGGAGGAGGAGGGGGAGGAGGGAGGAGGAGGAGGATGAGAGGAGAGAGAGTTGAGAGGAGAGAGGAGAGAGGAGAGAGGAGAGAGGAGAGAGGAGAGAGGTGGAGAGGAGAGAGGAGGAGGAGGAGGAGGGAAGGAGGGAGGAGGGAGAGGGAGCGAGGTAGATGGGAGAGGAGGAGGAGGAGTGAGGGAGGGAGGAGGAGGAGGAGGAGGGAGGAGGGAGGGGGAGGAGGAGGGAGGAGGAGGGAGGAAGAGGAGGAGGAGGAGGAGGAGGAGGAGGAGGAGGAGGAGGAGGAGGAGGAGGAGGAGGAGGAGGAGGAGGAGGAGAGGAGGCAGGGAGGGCCTAGTCGAGCAACTGTGGAACATCGCTCTCGCCTGGGCCCGCCGCGCCATGTGCGGAGGAAGCCAGGACGAGGCTAAATTTATGTCGGGCGTGTCCCTCTAAAGGGGGATTTTCGACGAAACATAACAAATACCCTAAAAATACCCGAAAAAGGTCAAACATACTCAAAAACTAGTCCCCAGACTATTTTCGGATTATTTTTGGGATATTTTTTTCCGTCGAAAATCCCCCTGTAGGGTGACAGGCCCGCCTTAAGGTTAAAATCGAGCAAGGGTGCCTCGGAGGCGGATGCCGTCGACATCGAGCCGAATTGAACCGGAGGGAGCGAAACGAGCCCCGTGCCCGTGCGCCACCACCGCGCGCTCCCCCGGGGGCGACGCGCGGCGGCGCGCCAGGGCCCCTCCGGCGCTCGAAAGGCTCGCGGGCCTCTCGGGCCCTGCCATCGCTCGGACGTCCATCTCCCGTGCACTTTTCGGCTCCGTGCGTGTTTTCGGTTGCTCGATGATCCAGGATGGTCCTCGATGGTTCTCGCCGAGAAGAGAATGCACACGTCCGAGCGGTGCCATCGACGGCGCAGTCTCCCGCGGCGCTCCTGGGGCTCTCCGCGCCGCGCCCCTGCAGGGTGTTGCGACCGTCCTGGACTACTCGAGGGGGCTGTTGAGACCAGCCGGGACTACTTGGGGGGGGGGACCAGTTTGTGCGCAAACCGAGGCCTTATCAGGATGAGGGGGAAGAGGCATAGGGATAGGGGAAGAAAGGGAGAGGGGAGCCGCAGGGGCGGAGAGGCGCCATCGACGGCGGCGTGGCACCGACGAGGCGCCCGCGTGCGGCGCGGCGGCGTCGCCCCTGCCGCACGCGAGGGGCGCGCGGCCACAGCGCCGGCCCGCCGCGCGCCTTCTCGAGCTGGCTCTCGGCCCTCTCGAGCATCTCCTTCTGGCGCTTCCTCTCGATCTGGCTGGTCCTGCGCCGTGGCCGCCGCCGCCGTGGCGTCCTCCTCTCCTCGAGCACACCCCCTTCCCCTCTCCGCCATTCTCGTCCTGCTCCGTATGCTTCTCCTCCGTGTCGTCTTCTTCTCTTCCTGCCTCCTCCTCCTCCTCCCCCAAGTCCTTTCCTGGCAGCCCGCGCTCAAATGTCGCAGTCACGCGTGACATCTACCCCGAGCGGTCCAAATCCTTGGCGGAAGCCTGGTACAGAAACCAACGAGCCCCTGCCGATCCAGGCGGATGGACGGCGTGGTGGGACCCGGATGTCGCCAATGCATAACCCAGACTACAGACGGCGCGATGATTAGCGCAGCTCGGAGCCCCGGGGTCCCTGCCCCTCTCCCAGGACCAACTTTTCATCCAGAGTCGCCTCTGAAGACCGTCAGGCGCAGTAAGTAGCAACATAGACTGGAAGTTGATAGAGCTGTCCGCTGTGATTGCGGGCGTAGCTCGGATTTGTGCTTCGCCAGTTGCACTGGACTGACCGGCTGGCGTTAATTGACTGGTCGCACCCGTTGGGTGGCTGTTCTGATTTTGGCCGCATCGTGCGCAATCTACGGAGCCACCAATCAAAATTAGTGGCTTTCCACTGCCACCGTGCGCACAACTTATGACGCAACCGATCGCAGGCCGTATCACTCTGGGCAACGAGGTGCGAAATCTATTGCGCAACCGATAGGAGGCCGTTTTACTCTCGGCGGCCACGGGCGCAACCGATGGAACAACCCATGGATGGAGCATGGCACAGCCCATGGATGGCGCAACACATGGCGGAATCCGTGCATTGCGCAACCCGTGAATCGCGCAACCTGTGGCGAAACCATTGGATCGGCCATCCTATGAACTTAACCACGGATGAAACAATGAGCGATCGATTGCGCAATCCCTGGTGCCTGGTGCGCCCCATGGCTGGCACTCGCGCGCACATACACTTTAGCTTCGCGGCCAGCCGGTCCAACGCATCGGGGGCAACAGCACAATGCGATAAGCTGATTACCACCGTGCGTATGCCGATAGAGGGGTCAACCGACAAGCGGGTGAGGGACGACAACAAAAATAAGAAGCAACTACATAAATACGAACTTTTGGCGCTCCGCGCCGGAAGCGCCGCCAGTGCACCCCAGCGCAGATCCAAGAAATACGCGCGGATCGCCAACAGTTTGTGTTTATGCGCACGCTTTTGCGCGGAAGCGGCCTTGCGCACGGCGATGAGGCGGAGTAAGTGCAAGCAAGCGGGCAGGCGCGCGGGACCAGACCCTCAAACACAAACACAAACACACACACACACACGGCAGGCTCTTCAGGGCTGCGCCCGACTCCATGGTCGCCGCTTGGACAGGCGACGATGCCCGAGCGGCGAGCTGCCATCTCTTTTTGCATCAAACAAGAAAGCTAAACTAGCATAAATAGAATGCAGAAAATCCAGTCCAACCATAGTCACCCCAACAGGCGAAGCCGTTTAGTCGACGCACCCACAGAAGTAATCGAACAGGGCAGGCCTGTGTAGAAAACGCCCAGGGCCGCTTAGTAAACGCCAATTATCGGGTCCAGGTGGTTCTTCCTCCCTGAATAAACATTCGGATCTCCGCGCAAATGTCTTGGATCGGCGCTGGCCTCGCCTAGCCCCACCTCCCTGTCTCTCCCCCTGTCTCTCCCCGCAGGCCGGGCCGCGTCCCGATGCCGAGCCGGGGTGGTGGCGGGGGGCACCCACTCGGGGAGAGCCTCTTCCAGTCATCTCTCATCGCCTCGCAACTGCGCCCTGCGGTGGCATCCGGGATGTGCTAGGACGGGCGAGGCCCCAGCGGAGGTGAGCGGGAGCTCTCGCGCTGTCCATCCCCACTCTGCGGCACAGGTTCCGCCCGGCACGGGTGGCCACCAGGGCTGCCCTGGATGGATCCCCCTGTCCCCCTCGTCCTGGGTCGGGACCCCAGCTGTAGCGCCCTCCTGTTCTGGGATATCCCGCTCCCAGGTATTTTGGGGCTGGTATTGCTGGGCCTTCCTGTGGTCGAGGTGGGGCGGGGAGGGTGCCCCAGGGGAGGTACCCCTGGGAGTCTCTCGGACCAAGTGGCGCCGTGGCGTTGCGGTACTGGACGCCCGCGACAGGTGGCGAGCTGTCCCCCAGCCATCCCTGAGTGGGAGGTGCCGCTAAAGAGGCAGTGCCCGCGGCCTCACAAGTTTGCTTACCCGAGCCACCACCATCACCACCACCACCACCTGGCGCGCGGAGCGCGCCAGGCGCTGTGCTGGAAGCGCCGTCAGGGGGGTCCGGCGATGATCCCAGAAATCCCTGCGAACCTCCAAAATATTATGTTGATAAATAAACGATGATTGCCCGAAGGAGTTCTTTTTTTTGTCTCCTCAGGAGCTGGGCCTGGTTGTCGGTTCGGCCACCTTGTGGTGGCCCCGTTGTTGCCCCTCGCCGCCCCTCGGTTGGGCCTGGTTGTCGGTGCCGCCGCCTTGTGGTGGCCTCGTCGCCGCCCGTCGCCGCCCGTCGCCACGTTTCGTCTGGGCCTGATCGTCGGTTCCGCCGCCTTGTGGTGGCCCCGTCGCCGCCCGTCGCCGCCCGTCGCTGCAGTTACCGCCGGTCGCCCGTCGCCGAGGTCGCCGCTGGTCGCATTGCCTCGCAGTGTTTTGCAATGCTTCCCAGTGCATGGCATTGCTTTGCATGTGGCATTGCTTAGCGTTGCTTAGCGTTGCTCGTGCACGGCGTTGCAGTGATTTTAATTGTGCTGCATCGCTTTGCCCTTGTGTGCACCGATCGATGCTGCTTTGTGTTAAAGTAGCGTTGCGTTGCGTTGCTGTGCGTCGATGTGAATTGCGTTGCGCTGGTTTGCGTGACTTTGCTTTGGATTGCACATGGATCGCACCACCTCGACTGCACCACATCCATTCTCCTTCGGACCCGGAATCTAGTCTTTACCACCTTCCCGAGAGCGGACCGATCCTCTTTGTTTGTCTCTTTGATTATGTGGCATATGAGCGCTTACCATTCAAGGGAGCCCCCACGATCGCCCCCGACCTATCCCCCTTGTCAAATAATTCTGATCGCCCACCCTTGTTACCGAGCAAAAAACCCATGTCCCCTTGCAAACAACTTGAAGAAGTCCACGCGCGCTCGTCATCGCGCGCGCATGTCGAGATGCTGTCCAAACCCTTGTTTTGTTCACAAAGCCTGTGTCTGTTCATTGGGATTTCAAGATCGAGGTTCTCGCAGCCCCATGGCAAACCGATGGCTGGTTCCCTGAAGGTCTGTTCGACAACATGATGTTCTTTGGTTCCAAAACATTTCCTTCTAAGAAAATCAGCCGGACCTCTCGCGCGCCATCAGTCGAACGCCCTTGCCCGCGTGCTCGCTCGTGGCCCACGATCCCATTCTAATGCAAACATGCGGGACACGAGCGCTCGGCCGCGCGCGCATGTCGAAATCCTGCCAACACGTTCATCGGCAAAACATGGACATCAATATCGTCATCGGCGTTGCCAACATCGGCACAGTCATTGTCTTGCCGTCGTCATCGTCATAATCGTGACCACCATCGCTACTATCATCATCGCAGCCGCGCGAGCCAGGGAGGCCTTCGACGCGCGCTGGGACGTCGCCATGGATAAGCGCTATCGCAGCTGCATGGGTTGTGGCAGACCAGGTGGTCATTCTGCGCGCGAGCTTACGCACGCAAGCGGCTGCAGAGATGCGCCAGCCACGGCAAAGCAGTCATCGTCATCGCCGCCGCATGGGTTTGCAAACCAAGTTGCGGGTGGGAGGGTGGGGTGATTGCGCGAGCAGCGGAGTTAACAACTTCAAATGATGCAAAACGGATCGCACCACAAGGCAGCACTACGTGGGGTCCACGCTGGCTAACATTCTGCGAATGTTTCACGGCGCAGGGAGCTCTGAGGGTGGGCAGGGCTCCCTTCAGCAATACCCCCTGTCATGAACAGGACCCAGGACCAGACCCAGCGGGCGCGGGCCCGCGTAAATCTGAGGCTGGCAACTCACCAGTCGACTGCTACCCATCTTCGAGGAGGGTGTGGGGAACAGAACTCGACACACTTGGGAGCAGCATGGAACGGCCGCGGCGAGCTCACGATGCCGAGCCCTGGCTGTGGCAGCGGGCCCGCGAGGGGGGGACGGCGCCCGTCGTCCTGTGGAGGGGAGCCCTGCCAGACCCCGGACGCGAGGAGAGCGGCCTGCCTGGACGCCGAGGGCGGCGCTGGGCCTCCGGCAGGGCTGCTCCGAGGCGCCAGAAGGGCGCGCCGGGAGCACGGACATGTCAAAGACTCCAGCGCCATTTGGCAAGCGATGGTGATGGTGATGGTGATGGTGATGATGATGGTGATGGCGATGATGATGATGATGATGGTGATGACGATGCTGACGATGCTGATGATGACGATGACGATGATGATGACGATGCTGACGATGACGATGGCGATGATGGTGATGCTGATTTTTCCTCGACGCCAGGACCAACGTCTGATAGAAAGATGTGGCGTACAGGGAATCCAAACTTAAAAACCCGTCGCAGAGAGCCAACTGTCTCGTACTGCCCCGCGTGGGCCAAGCTGCCTGGGTGCTGCGCAGAGGGGCCCCCTTCGCAGCGCGTGCCAAGCAACGTCTCGGGTGCTAGCTGAAAAGATACTCGGCCGCTTCATCCTCGGCGATTGTATCGAACTCAGGCGGGGCCTCCACCTCGCATAGCTCCTCTGCATGTGCTGGCACGGCAGGGGGGGGGGGAGGTGGGGGCGCGACGGAGGCGGGAGGGTACGTGACCGTGACCGTGCTGCTGCTGGCAGGGAAGGCTTCGCCTCGAACAAAATTGACACGGCGCTGGATAGTGTCCTCTCCGCTTATGCTTGCAGTGTTCCGTGCAGGCTCGCTCTGGCAAAAAAGCGGGTTCACTGCTCGAGCGTCTCCAGCCAGTGGCCGACCTCCTCCTCGAGCCAGCCCGCTGGGGCCACGCCTCTGTGGTGGACCGCTTGGCCCTCGGCCTCGAGGGCGCGGCTGATCAGGACTCGGCCCTCCCACATGGGCGCGCCGATCACCAGCTTCGTCTTGGTGTCGTCGTAGCACTTCTCCAGACGCACAAAGGAGATGACGTCGAGGAGATCTTCCTTGCTGATCTCCGCCTCCGCCTCGATGTCCTCGGGTTCCGCTCGGAGCAAGTAGTTCCGAATGGCGCCCTTCATGGAGCCGCCCACGTCGCACTTGTGCAGTCCTTCCAGGGCCGCCAGCGCGAGGGACGGAGCTGGCGACCCTATCTCCTGCAGGCGTTTCTTGTCCTCTGGGGTGCCGCTCTTCCTGAGGGAGTCCAGGGTGTGCTTGTAGCGCTCGAGCTCCTGCGTGATGGCTATGATCACTGGGTGCTCGTTGCTCATAGTGTAGGTGTCCGTGTTGATGCTGCAATTCAGCCTGGTCTTGTGCGTCGTCTGGAGCAAGAGCGTCAGGGTCGAGCGAGGCAGGTCCAGCAGGTTCTTGTCCTTGCTGCTCCAAGCCTTGGGGTTGTGGGTGCCGCGGCGCCCGCGGCGTCCTCCGCGGCGGGCTGGGCGTCGGCTGGGCTGGTCGGTCTCCGTGTCCTTCTCGCCGATGTCTCCCTCGTCCACCTCGATGGGCGTGGCTGCTGGCGCGGCTGCCCCCCCTCCTCGGCTGGCGTTCGTGGTGATCGCGATCGCCTCTGCGGCGGCGGCGGCGGGCCTGGCGGACGCGCAGCCTTTGTCGCCTTCTGGCCTGGCGCGGCGCTGGAGGCGGTGCCAGAGCCCTTCGAGCCCTGGGAGGAGTCCAGCGGGAGTCGCCACGACGCTCTCTGCTTGGGCGTTCCCCCCTGGTCCAGGAGGTAGTGCAGGAAGAGTAGGCGTAGAGGAAACAGTAGCCACTCGAAGTGACCGCGTAGGTGTTGCATATGCTGCTGCTGAGCGCTGCGCCGCTCGTAGCCGTCGAAGTGGTCGGTGTCTAGGTCTGCTGCGAGGGCCGCTGCCCACGATGTGTTCCACCGACTGACGAATGGCAGCGCGCACAGCAGGGATGCCCTCGATGGCAGGCGATGGGCGGCAACTGGATGGCGCGGGGCGCGGCGGGGGAGCACTCGGAGTGGCCGAGCGCGCGGTAAGCCTTCTGACGACAGGCTTGAGCATGGAACCCGATGGCGACGGTGGGACATGTCCCAGGACGTGAGCTCGAAGTTTTTGCTGATCATGATATTCATGTTGGCGTGCGTGGTCCAAAGCGTAGCCCCGTAGAGGGCATGCGGTACATGTGGCTGGGACCCAGGGGTATACATGATGAGTAAGTTCTGGGATGTATCTGCCTGCTTGCCATGCTCGTCGTAAATGTCTAACTGCATGATCTTGATTTGGAAACGTAGTTTGGCACACAATACATGTGTTGTCGATCTGTAGGGTGGTCAATACCGCTGGCATACCGTGTCCGAGGCTCTTAGATCTGGTTTGATGTGTGGCGAGCTGTTTCAGCGTCCCGAACCGTTTCTGGCACGACTCGATGTTGCACACGAAGGGGCGGTTCGTCTCGTCGTCTGTGTCCGTCTCGTCGTATGTTGCCGCCGAGGGGAGAGAGGAGGTGATCACGCTGGCCTCGGGGGGGGGCCCACTGAGTCGTCCAATAGGAAGCCCTGGGAGCCCGAACGTCGCAGTTTAGGAAGGCCTCTCGAACCCACTCGTCATCCCACAAGTTTTTAACAACTCGAAGTTGCCACGCTTCCTGAAAGCTCTCGCCGATCGTGTGATACGACAAGCACAGCAAATCGTCCGCGAGCTGTGTGGCCCACGGGTGCACGTTCGGGTCTGCGGAGATCTCACCCTGCGAATTGAGGGTGCCAGCGCTGACGGGGCGGTTGCTTATGGCCGCCTGCTGCTCAAACTTGCATCTTCAAAAAAAAAAGAAGCGAGAAAGTGGCCATGATGTGCGTGCGATCGGATTATGCTCTGCCACCAACTGAGCCTGCGCACGAGTAGCTCGATGCCAGCCGGTGCAACTTGCCATTCAAGAAACACTTGGCGGGTGGACAGGGGTCGATGGTTGTTGTGCTCATCCTCCTGATGTGCCGCTCCTCTCATCATTGATCGTAGTTTGCGGGCCAGCGAACTGTCGAGTCTGTGGAACTCTCTAAGGGTCAACACATAGCTTCCGAGGCCAGACCAAACCCTCCCCGCGACGTTGGACACGAACGCGAGCCGTTTAGCCTTCCAAGGGCCTCCAGAAAACCAGTAGTCGCCCAGACGGCACCACCCGATCTTACCTGATTGTATACGGGCCTCGATTTCACGCCGATTACTGTTGGCAACATGTACATATCCTCCGAGGTGAGTCAAGTCCTGGACTGCGTTCCCAGAAATATTTCGTTCGGCCTCCTTCGTAGCCCCGTGAGTGCCCAGTGAGACCAGGGTCTCCTGCTTACTGATGTTCTGTGCGTAGCCGCCAGCCTCGAGGGCCTGGGAGAGCGCGCTGTTGTCGATCTTATCAATCTGCAGCGCCTGGAGGGCAGTGCGGTCTGGCGCCAAGAGGATCTTAACTAGATCGTCACTGAAAACTCCAAGATGCGCATCGAACTCTTCACCAGTGAAAAGGCAGTGTACCTGAAACGGGTTTCCCTGGACCTGTGCCATCTCCTGGGACCACTGCTTAACTAATGGATAAAATGGTTCCATGAAAAGTTCAGGCTCGTTTGAGTCGCCCATCCTCCCTCCAGTCCCTGGTCGAAGAGCTATGCTGGCATCAGACGCCTGCAGAAACACTACAGCCTCGTGTCGGTGCTGCTCAAGGAGGGGATGAAAATGCTCATCGTCGCATCGAAGTGTGGGCGGCAACCAGTCGTTCGTGGGAGCCTGTCGCGAATGCGTTCCGCATGTCGTACGACTTAGCAAGGAAAGACATTCTGGCGGATCTCATCTTCCATATCAAAAGCTTAGCAATGAGCATGAGTGATTCGCGACGGCGGGAATGAATGCCTCCATAGGCCCACGGCGGTGGGTCGAATTGGGTTCCATACTGAATGGGTCCTACCCTAAGATACAATCGCCAAAAATGGTCGAAACAGTGAAGTAAACGTACGCATGCATGAATGTCCTGAATCACGTTGCCAGTAGGGCTCTTTTCATGATGCTGATGATGATGATGATGATGATGATGATGATGATGATGGTGATGATGGTGATGATGATGATGATCATCATCATCATCATCATCAGCCTGGAGGCCCAGATCTGCGAAGAGGCGACTCCCTCCATCTGGGGTGTTTCCCTGCTTGCGGCCTCTGGAGCCCGTGGTCGGCCGCCCAGGCTATCAGAAATGGTTCCAGGGCGAAAGCTGGCCCCCAGGGGGAGGAGACGGGACCGCCGGAGCCGCGCATCGAACAAGATCACATGGTCAGATGCCCGAGGATCCACACCATCCTGGCGCTGGAGACTTCTGCGTTTGGCACTGCCTGTGCTTGGCGTCACCAGGCCCCTCATCGATCCCCGCAGGCTAGGTCTACTGCCCACCCCCAGTGCAGCCAACGGCTTGCCACGAGAACCTTGAGGAATGAACGAGGGCTCCCTGAACAAAATGTATGATGACGGGGACCTCAAAAATAATTTCGTGCACTCTCGGTGTGGCAGCTATGTGGTGCAAGCTACGTGGTGCAAGGTAGGTGCAAGATGAGCAATTCAAGCAATGTGGTGCAAGCTATTTGTATGCTACGTTATGCGAGCTGCCTGGTGCAGTCTACATGGTGCAAGCTCTGCAGTGCAAGCGATCAGGTGCGAACTATGCGGTGGAAGCCACGTAGTAAAATCTATGTTGCAAGCAGCGCGTCGCAATACTCTGTGGTGCAAGAGGATCTGCGGTACGACCTGCGTGGTGCAAGCGATGCGGTGCACGCAGTGTCGTGCAGGCCATGTGGTGCGAACTATCTGATGGAGAACCCGTGGCGCCCATGCGGCGCCAGCGAGGCGGCAAATGGTCGAAAACCGTGAGACCCCCGGCAGCGCAGTGGGCTCCCACGAGGAGACCCACGGGCGGCACCCCAGGGGGACCCAGAAACGAGAAGCAGCCAGCGCACACCGAGGGGCGGCGACTGGGCGGTAAACGGGGCAGCCCATGCCAGCGCACGAGACGGCCGCGGGCGGCGACTGGGCGACAACTGGGAGCCTTTGCAAATACTCTGAAAATAAAAACGAGGCCCCTTAATGCAAACACTGTTTGAGGGAAGGCTCAGCCGCACCCGACACTCTGCGGACCAGACGTGCGCGTCCCCAGACATCCGACGATATGATGGTTGCAATGCGCGGCCCCAGAGGTCCCGACCACTTCCCGGGGACAGTTTTTCGCCATGGATCAATGTTCTATTGTTCCAGGCCCGAAGACGGCTCACAGGGACCAGAATCCAGGAAAAAACGACGAGATACAACAAAACATGTCGTCGGGGATCTGGTCCCGGCTCCTGTGCTCCATGTTGAGGTCGCTGAGCTGCTTCTGCAGTTCCCTGCGCTCCTCCGTGACCGTCGACAAGTCCCTCCCGTCGGCCCGCGCCCGGGTCTCTTCTGCAGTCTCCGCATCGTCCGCCTTCTCTGGCTTCCGCCTCCTCCACCTCCTTTTCATCCTCCGCCTCCACAGCCTTTCCTTCCCATCCCTCCTCCCTCCAACTCTGTGCTCCCTCCTGTCCAGGCTGCTGTCAGGGCTGCTCGCCGCAACACGCCACTAATACCCTCTCCATGCGACCAACCAGCCACTTGCCCTGCAGGTACTGTCAAAGATGGTATGCCGCGACTGGCACCTCCAGCCCGAGCTGGTCGACCGGGGCGCGACTCTGACCTACACGCGATCTGACTGTGGGTCGACTTTTGGGATGGATGCGTTCTATCTGGAATAATGGATAACACATACGGGTCCGATCGGTTCCGCTGTTGGCCCCAGCCCGAGCACAACCACCGCCTACACTGGACATGGATGTATTCGCGACCTGAGGGGGGGCAAAGGTGTCCCCAGCCACCGCCTGCCGAAGTTCCTGAAGATTGGTTTCCCAGACGGAGGTCATGGGGAACATTCCTTGCCTTATGTTGCCCTCATCGCACTTAAGGGCCACATCCCAGAACTAATTTCGAGCACCCGGAAAAGTGTCGAAAGAGTGTCGAAACGGTGTCGAAACCTTGTCGGGCGAGTGTCCCCCACAGCCCGACACGTGAAAACAACAGAGTTAAGGCACTTGATTCTGGTGCTCGGACTTTTTTCCCTGGTGATCAAGGCCAAAGTAGGTTGGAACATCACAACCCTTGCCTCGGGAACTCCCGCCGCGAGCTCCTGGCCCCGCGTGCCGACGGAGCTGAGCTGCCGCCACAGGCCCCAGCGGGCCCCTGACCCACTGGCCCCCTGGCCTGGCGTGGGCCGCACGCCGGCGACTCCAAGGGGTGCGGTTTGCAAAGGGCGTGGCTTGCAATCGGCACCCTGGGGGGCACCCTGGGGGGCGGGCGGGTGCCTCGATAGGGTTCTCCGCCGCGCCCCGAGGAGGCCCGACGAGGACAGTGTCGTGCCCTCCAGGCGCCCACGGCGCCGATCGCAAACCACACCCTGGCGTAACCTCACCCTTTGCTGGTCCAAGTGGGTCGCGCTTTGATCGCCGGTGGGGCGCGGGTGGGTCGCAGGTGGCTCGGTCGCAGGTGGGTCTTTCGCGGGCGGGAGCTCGCCGTCGCTCGGACGTCCATTTCCCGTGCATTTGTCTGTTTCGTGCGTGTTTTGTTTGGCTCGTTGGTCGAAGATGGTCCTCGATGGTTCTCGCCGAGAAAAAATGCACACGGACAAGCGATGCCAGGGGAGGTCGTGGGCGGGTCGCGGGGCGAGACGGCGACGGGACGATATGCGACTGCTCGCCCTCTCACTCTTGACTAGCCCTGGGTGCAGTCAGCCCCCCGACAGCGCTGGTCGCCGCCACCAGCCCAGCCCCATCTCGTCTACACGCGCTGGCGTTACCCTTTTTCCATCACTTGGCCCACAGAAGCCCTACATCAGGGACCTGCGGAGCAGGCATGGACCCGCGCCGCGGACAGCGTCCGAAAGCAGTCCCGATCCACTCCGAGGGCCTGGAGCGCCGCTGGCACAAAAAGGTTCAAGCTCCTGCAAGGCCCATGCAGCGGGCGGGCGGGCGGCCTCATACACCCGCGGGGCTCCAGCACAAAATCTGGCGCAGGTGGGCTGTCCTCGCACCCGGCGCCTGCGAGGAGCGCGATGCGCGACTGTCATCACGCGACTGTGCGCTTCCACGAAGTGATGCAGGAGGAGTTGCGCGAAGGCCGGCGAGTCTGCTGTTCGGAAACACCTTCTGGAACGTCGTCGTGACAACGAATCAGGGCTATTTAGCCAGAGTGAAGAATCACTGGGCCGGATTAGCCCAGACTGAGCCCCGGTTTGGGCCGGATTGGCCCAGAGTGAGCGGGATTCGACAGGAATATTTTGGACTATGCCAGGTTGGGCTGGTTTTCGGCCACGGTGCTGCCAGCGCCGATGCTGAAGGCAGCCGCCAAGGAGTTGCATCGCAACTGCCAGGACCGGAGTGGCAGCGAGAGGCGCGCCAATCGCGCCAGCGGCCGCGCCGCATGTGGCCGTCCCCGACCCCCAAACATTACGGCAACCAAAATAGCTTTTCAGAACGCGGTCCCGTAAAGTCCCGACCCTTTCCCCTGCAGTGCAGGTTTGGCACCCCGAGTGGGGCCAGACGAAGGCCCCCCCCCAAGACCGAACACAGCCCCAAATCTCCCGTCGTGATTCCTGCCGCGACGCGAGCACGCCTTGGATCCGACGAGCCCACAGATCCCGAGGGCATGCCGCGGGGGAGCCTCACGCGGCCACGCGCGCCAGCGGCCATGCGGCCCGCGCGGCAACTCGCGCCAGCGGCCACCCCGGAGGCGCGAAAAAAAACTCAAGGACCCGCTTCCCTCAGGACCCGCTCGCCCCCCTGACTCGGCGGTGGAGAAACCTCCCTTCAGCAAACCTCCCCTTCGTGGAAACGGCCTGGGACCGAAACCGACGGACCTGGACCCGCAGCAATGACGGCCGCGGCGCCCTCCCGCGAGCCGTGAACGGCCCATGCGCTAATCGACGCGTCGGGGTAGGAGGCCTGCCCGCCCCCGACTGGCGATAGGTCCCCAGAGCGCCGCCCGCCGGGAGATTCTTGGACAGGCGCGCTCGCACGGCCAACCTCCAGTCGACGGCTCTCTGCGGCGGACAACACCGCGCTGCCAGAGTGTCCCGCGGCGCGGGTCGCTCGGCCGACTGCACCGGGGAGCCCAGCTCCGCAAAATAATGCACGCGCAAACGCAAACACCGGAGGAGGAGGAAGAGGAGGAGGAGGAGGAGGGAGGAGGAGGAGGAGGGGGGCGATAATTTTGCCGGTCCCCGCCTCGCACCAGGAGCCCACCGATGCCGATGGTAAGGGCCGCGAGCGGACCTCACGCGGCCTGCGCCCGCCGCGCCCGCTCGGCGGCCTGGTCCTTCCGGGCTCTCAGCCTGCGGATCCCCTCCAGCAGCCGCGCCCTCGCCTCCCAGCCGGGGCCGGGGGCGCGGAAGTGCCCCGGGAAGAAGCCGTCCTGCTTGGGATCGCCGCGGGGGGGGGGGGCCAAGTGGAGGAGGGGAATCTCGGCGGCGCCAGGGCGGTCATGCCTGGCCCGACGTGGCCGATGAGTGGGTTGCAGGCGCCCGAAGTGGCGCAGGGGGGTTGCAGAAGTCCGCGAAGTGGGCGCAGCCCACCTGGCCCGGTCCACTTGTAACCAACTTGTCAGCCAGGTTAGGTCAGAGGAGGTGTACCTCACTTTGGTAGCCGCTGCTATCTTCCTGTCTACTCAGCAACCCCCGCGGCGACCCCAGTGATGCGCCGCCAGAGTCAGGCCAGAAACTTGTGCTTGAGCTGTCGCGGCGACCCCAGAGGCAAGCTATGCCCTGCGAGCGGATAGCGTGTCGTTCCGCTCCGAGGGACGAGCGGCTGGGAAAAGCTCCGGACGCGGACGCCCGGGGACCAGGAAGTGGTTAAAACATAAAGGTCGCCAGATAGCCCCGCCCAGCAGGAGGCAACCAACTATTGCTTCGACGACCTTATTAAAGGACTGGGGCCCCAAATTCGCAAGCCCAAAGGGCCAGAGGCGTGCTAAGATCTCCGTTCGCGCGCGCGCCAACAAGTTAACAGTGTTTCTAGTTCGCGCGCGCGTGGCGGCCCCTAGGGACCTCTGGACGACAAGTACCCTGGCCGATGCCCGGCAGCGCGCCAAGAGGGCGCCGGGACGCCCCTGACACGGCCTGAGAGGCCTCGGGTCACCGAAAGATCGTTCCAAGGTGCTCAAAATAGTCTCCACAGATGGCCCGAGACACCCACGATGGCTTCCAGACGGCCCCCAGCGCGAACAGGCCACCAAGAGGCCTACCAAGAGAGCCGCAAGAGGGTCCCCAGAGGCCAAAATCGTAAATTTAATCGTGAGTTTCACGATGGTTTGGCCTTCTCGCCTTTTCGGCTTTCCAACGCTCCAAGACGGCCCAAGAGGCCCCCAAGACACCCCCAAGACGGCCCCAAAAGCCTCCAGGATGGCCCAAAGAGGGCCCAAGATGGCCCCACGACAGCCGAAGAGGCGCCCAAGATGGCCCAAGAGGGCCCCAAAACGGCCCCAAGAGGGGCTCAAGACGGAGACCAGGAACCGAAAAGTCCAGCCTTCAGCCCAGAGAGGCCCCCAGGAGGCCCCAGGAGGCCCCCAAGAGGCCTCATTGGCTCAAGGGCCCCCCAAGAGGCACCCCAAGAAGCCCCAAGAGGCCCCCGAGAGGCCCCCAGAGGCCCCAACACGGCCCCCAAACGGCGAGGCAATATGAGCCGGCGGAATGGGCAAAGCGATTGAATAATTTATCATCCGCGGCACCCGCCGCACAACAACGAGAACGCCGAGATGAAAGTGGAGAGCCCGAGCAACGCCTTCGGCGAAACATGTGTCGAGCTAGACTGCAATCCTTTTAAGGCATGATCAAATTTCCTGTCGTGCAAGGTTGCCCAGAGGGGAGTTTTTCCTTAGGGAGAGAGCCCACGAAACACGCCTACAATCACGACTACAACCGCAATCACTGATTCCGATTGCAATCCTCATGAGAAGATGCTCGCAAATACACCCGCGTGTAGGTTATAGCTCGCAAGGGATTCTTCCCGGGAAGAAGAATCCTCCAACGTTACCCAGCCCACCATACAATAGAAGGAAAATAACCTCCGCCGCGACGACGACTGCGATTACGATAACGGCCACGGAGCAGGAGGAGGAGAGCTGGGAGAAGGAGGAAGAAGAGAGCGGGGAGGAGGGGAAGGAGGAGCATAAGGAGGAGTAGGACGAGTTCAGTCCCGACCGAGAGAACACAGGGGGGGAAAGCAAAACTAAAGACCCTTCGAGGTTACCATGTCGCGCCGAAGCCTGGTGGGCCAGAGCAGGCGGCGGGACGCGCCGAGCACAACTTCCCCGCTGCGTGCGCACATCGGCTGACGCCGGGCCGTGCCCCGGGGGAAGCGGGGAGCGGTGGGTGTGCACACCGCCTGCCCGCCCGTGCGGGCGGGCAAATGTCCGCATCCACCGCGCCTCACCTGCCCGCCCGTGCATGCGGGCAAATATCCGCATCCATCGCTCCTCGAGATCCCGGGGCCCAAAGCTTTGCTGCGTCCCCCGGGGGCCTTGTCTGTCCCGTCGCGGCCCCATCCGCGTCGAGTCCGTGTCGAATCCATGTCGGACTCGTCGGATCCGTGTCGAATCCACGTCGAATCCGCGTCGAACCCACGCCAAATACGCGTCGAGTCCGCATCCGGCCCGCGCCAGGTACAAGAAAAGACACCAACTTTGGGGACAGGCGAGGTCCCCCCGAAGATGCAAGGTGACCGTAGGCGTGGAGCCAGGCGTACAGCGGTGTGAATTGTCAAAGCCGCGGCCCGAAAGGCTCCGTCCCCACCCCCCAGGGCCAGTCTCTCGCCCGGGCGGACCTACTTCTGATGGCCCTGGGGCCCGACCTCTCCAAAATCGTCAACGCCCTGGAAAATCTCGGCCAGAGATCGTCGTCGCCGTCCAATCTCCAAAAAACGTCGTCGACGTCAACGTCAACGTCAACGTCTCCAAAATCGTCATCGTCTACGTCCAATATCGTCAATGTCTCCATAATCCTCAACGCTAACTTCACAGACCCCACGGCAACGTCCCAGGCCCCACACCTTCATCAGTTGTTCAAGAAATGCTCAACTGTGTTCTCCTTTTAAATCAAGGGATGAAGAAACGACCCTATCATGAGTTACAAGTAAGTGGGTATGTAAGCCTCCTGGGAACCCCCAAAGCCTAGAGAGCCGCCAGGAAGCCGCACATCACGCAGGGTTTACCCTGTCAGCCCACAGGAGGTTCAGCGAACAACGCCTCGTAAACCAGGGTAGGGGCGTTGTGTATGCCCTTGATGTTTAAAAAAGATCGAACTGAAAAAACTGTTCACCGAAATGGCCTTGGCAGTCTGGGGATCCGAAGAGCAGCCTTCACCGTCCAAAGCAACGGTTCGGATCTGGTGGACACCAAAGTTGTGACCTGGACCAGGCCCCAACCAAGGGAAACGAGCGCCGTAAAAAAAGGGCACCGGAAGCATCAGCAGCAATATGACCCGAAGCATAAAACAACACGGATCTGCGAGCACGGTATGAAGAAACAGCTTCACGGAGGAGAGAACGGATTGTCGGTCTTCGCCCCCATGCTCTCCCGTTCCCCTTCCGCTCGTCCATGAGCAGCGAGCATATCCATATCCACACCCTCGCGGTCTGGATTTCAGGGCACGATCCCGTGGATGCGCGGTCGCATTGCTACGCTCCGCGCGGGGCATCTGCGAACAAAACTCCCCGCATCCATGGGATCGCGGCCCGGGTACCCAGCCGGCGACGCCGTGGATGTGGAGATGCTGTCGGCTACACGTATGAGTGACCCTGGGTAAGAGTGACCTTTGGTGCGCAGCTTTTTGGGGGCCGCGGGGAGGCCAAATCCAGGCGCGCTAGCCGCTGCTACCGCTTTGCGGTCGGCCATCTGGGGGCTCATCTGTGCCCGCTGGCGGAAGGTCACTCTTACGTCTAGCCGATTCTTCCATCCCACGAGATGGCGCCGAGCAGTGGGCCTGGAAGCCGGGCAGCGCGCCCTCCCGGACGGGCAGCTCGTCGGGCAGCTCCTCCTCGAGCCCGCCGCCGGCGCCCGCCGCCGGCGCCGCGGCCTGCCGCGGCGTGGCCGGCGGCTCGAGGTCGGGCAGCGGGGCGGCCGAGGCAGGCGACCGCTGCCGCTGCTGACCTAGGAGCGGGAACAGCTGCACACTGCGGGAACTGATGGCGTGAGGATGCGCGAGGAGGATGCAGGGGCCTTGGACGCCCATGTCGGAGCCTTTTTCGAGCGGGGCTGGCAATCAAAAGGGGTCAAGGATGGACCGAGGAGGCGAGGATGCAAGGGAAACCTTGGAGAGTCGCCCATCCAGTGACGGTACCCACGCATGCTCGTCGTGACAAGAAGCACGACGGGAGGCTCTTGGGAACGTTCGGCCTCGGGGGGCCATCGCCGGGCCCTGGGACCGTCGGAAAACTGCTCGAGGTGCAGAACCGGCCCAAGTGAAAAAAAAACAATTCATCGGATCTCTGGGTACGGCAGGTTTGTGCCGTGACGACTACGGCGTCGGCTTCTGACACCGCGTGGCCCGTTCATTAATCTTGAACGCTCGACGGCTTGTCTATCGCCAGATGGTTCCCTATTGGCCGATTCTGGACCACTGGCGGCGTTCAACCTTGAACGTCCGCGCTGGGTTCGATGCCGCGTGGGCACGACACAATCCCTTCGTACACGCAAGCTTTCGGAAGCTCGCGCGGACTTCTTGGCTCGGCGCTGGATCCCCCGCTCCCAGACGCGCGGAGCGCGCTAGCGGCGGCGCTGGAGGCGACGCCAGGGGAGTCAAGCGTAGATCCAAGAAATCAAATGCGCGCGGACCTGCGAAAGTCTATTATGGTCATGCCGTCATGCCGGTGCTGTTCGATCCTCGAGGCCTGGCGGCGGCGACGCGTGCTGTTGAGCCGGAGTGGCCAAGGAGTTCTGCACCACTGTTCGCAAAAAGCCGGCGTCTCCCCAGAGGTCTGGCCTTGGCTCGCCGGCCACGCAGGCTACCGGGCCCTGGGTGCCGCCCACGCGGAGCACCGTGACGGTCTCGGACATGCTGGTCACGCCCATGTTCCTGAGCGAAGCCTGGTAGCGGGCGGTCTCGGCCTGCGTGCTGGTGGGCTGGTACCGGTCCGCAGGGGTCGGCGCGCCGCAGAAGACGTTGGCCTCGAAGCTTGCGCCCTCGCCAGCCGCGGACGCATACCAGCGTGTGATGCGCCCCGGCAGGCCCTCGGCGTTCGGGGTCATGGCCACCGCCGAGACGGTGCCACCCGGGCGGACCACCCGAGAGCCGAGTCTCACCACAGCTGCCAGCACGTCCTCGCCAGAGTCGCCGCCGTTGCCGAACATGGCCCCCGCCCCCGAGGCGATCCCATGCGGGTTCGGCACGAACGGGGGGTTAGCCACGAGGGCGTCGAATCCTCGCTCGAGCACCTCTGCCGGCAGGGCCTCCTCCAGGTGGCCGCTGTAGAGCCCCAAGCACCTCGCCGCAAACCCGTTCAGCGCCAGGTTGAACCGGGTGAACCTCGGTGGCGGCCAAGATGGGGGGGGCGCAAATCATGGCCGGCGGCATGTGCGCGGCCCAGGGGGGGCCGGGAACGTATTGAAACAAAATGAGGCGCCGTGAAAGTGGCCCCCGCTATATCCACTCCCCCTAGTCTTAGGTCGGGCGAAAAATAAGAAATTGTTTAAACATATTCAAAAAAGACATAGTCATAAGTATTCAAACAGAGTGAAAAATCAAACAAATCATCGCCCGACTATTTTTTGACTATTTTTGGACGTTCCTCCTGTAGAGGGACATGCCCGACTTAGCCCTAGCTATCGCTCCCCCCTTGGCCGCCCCCGAGAACCGCAGTGCCCTCGGGTTGAGGTCCACGAAGGCGGCTCGGTCTGCATACGTCCGCAGCGCCACGATGCCCTGGATGCCGCTGCCGCAGCACACGTCCAGCACCGAGGAGGCCTTCGCCCTGGGCGCCCCGTGCACCAGCGCCCAGGAATCCTCTCGGGGATGGACAGAATCCCCTTCAGGAAAGCGTGGCTTAGTGAAGACGACCTCGGGCCCAAACCTGGCGGGCGCAAGCCTGGGGAACGACGGCCGCGGCGCCCTCTCGAGAATCGAAGGGTGGGGGTTCTGTCCACCCCCGATCCTCGGAGATGTACATCACGGGCTCCATGTCCTCAGCGGAATACGTTTGCTCGAAATCGGCGCAAAGCAGGAGGTCCTCCTCGATGGGCCACACGGCGACGTTGGCAAACGCGAAGAAGGCGTTGCAGCCCGTCGGGTCCGCGGCGACTGCCGCGGCAGCCTCTGCGGGAGAGATCATCCGGCAGGCATCGCCCTCCACGGCCGTGACGGCGCGCAGGGTCAGCAGGAGCTGCAGGCACTCGGGGCCGAGCAGCTGGGACAGCCGCGCCAGGGGCAGCACGCGGTGCAGCAAGAAGATGCGGATGAGGTCCACCAGCTCGCCGGGGATCCGCGGCAGACCGTCCTGCGGCTCGGGGTTCATGGGGTTGGGCTCCTCGCAGCTCTCGAGCAGGCTCTGCTCGAGCCTGTCAGCGTTGCCCTCCACGAAGATGAACTCGGACATAGAGGTCGCCTTCGCGGCACGGAGCACAGTGCCCTGGACGTAGCCGGCGTTGAGGAATGCAAGCCTGACCTTCTTGAGCAGCGCGTCGCTGGCGCCGCCGGCTGACAGGTCCGCGCCCTCTAACAGGTCGGGCTCTCGCGGGGCCCGCAGCTGCGCGCTGTAGCGTAGTAGGAGTCCGAGGCGTGAGTCAGTAGCATCGAGGTCGAAGGCGCGATGTAAGTCCTCGATGGCCGCATCGAGGTCGAAGAGCCGCATACGCAGCATGGCCATGTTGATTCTCACAGCCGCGATGGAGCTGGGATCGGCGCCGCCACTGGCTTCCGCGAGCCGGATCTCCCACTCCGACCGAGCCAACTCGGCCTGCAAGATGGCCCTGGTAGCTTCGCCGTGGGCGCGGACGAGCGGGTCGGAACAGAGGTGCCGAGGGATCGTGGTCGAGTCCGCTGGGTCGCCCAGCGGGCACTGCTGCAGGGAGGCGCGCAGCTCCCCGTCCTGAGCCATCAGGCTCGAGGCGATGCCCTGGTCGTCTACCGGCAGCCCCTCCCAGGCCTCCCTCACGAGATCCACACGCCGCGTCGCCTCTGGGAGGGGCTCGATGCATGCACAACGACATTCGGTCAACCGAAGAGCTCAGCATGTAGACGCCCCAGCTCCCCAACCTGTGGGACGCTGGAGCGTCTACACTGTCTACACACCGAATTCCTTCGCCGATCTCCTCGGCTCCCTCGCCGACCAAACGACGTGGTGCACCGGCCACTCGGAAGAAGTAGGTGGAAACATGGAGTAGGAAGGCGGACCAAGTAGGTTGGGCTCGGGCCCGCCCAAAGAATAGCAAAAGGCCGCAGAAACATATCGGTTATTGCAATAGGGAGGCGCTTGAAATAGATCGGGATACGTCGCCCCTCCGAGCCTCCTCGAGCCAGGCCACGAGAGGCTCCCGCTCCTCGGTGAACGCGCCCCCCGCCTGCGCCGGCGCGGCGGCCGCGGCTGCGGCGGCAGCCCTGCCATGTGTCGCGAGGTGCGAGGAGGCGGAGGAGGCGGAGGAGGCGGAGGAGGAGGAGGAGGAGGAGGAGGAGGAGGAAACCCAAAAGCCAGCGACACCGCTGTACTCCCCGGACCTCTCCCCGGGTGCGCTCTGACCAGGATCTTGAGGGCATCGGCATCGGGGCATCTTTGCTGCCCCTCCTCTCTCGACCTGCGGGCGCTGCTGGCGTGGCCCCGGGCCAGCGCGGCAGCGGCGGCGCCGCCGCTGGCCGCGGCGGTCGCGGCGAGGCGCCCGCAGCCCGCGTCGCAGCGCGCGGCCCGGAGGCCGGCGGCGACTGCGCTGCGTGGCGCGCGCATGGGCAAGCTTGCCGCCGAGGCGCGGCGCCAGGCGGCCGGCGCGGCGCCGCGGTGGGGTGGGGCCAGCAAGTGCCCGGCGTGCTGCAGCTGCTGCAGCGGCGAGGCCAGCAGCGGCATCGCGCCCGCCGGGTGGCCTGCTGGCCAGCCCCCCGAGGAGAGTCCGTGAGCCAGGCTGCGGGTCTCTGGGGCTCGATTCCTCTTTCTCTCTCTCTCTTTCTCTACCTCTCTCTCGCCCATCCCCTCCTCCGCTCTCTGCCCGGTCTGGAATGGAGGTTCGGACAGGGAAGTGCCGGGCACAGAGAGAAAGCGAGGGCGGAAGAGAGCAAGAGGGAGAGAAAGAGAGAGAGAGAGAGAGCGATAGCGAGCACACATTTATACATACGACTATGTTTGTCGCTATGTATGTGCATGTGTATACTTACATGTGAATCGAGTGCGGGGGAGACATGAACGGGGAAGAACAAACAACATACAACGACGTGCGCCCAGACACGTGTATATATTTGTACATATATATATATGTATATGTGTGCAGCATGTGCACATTGCGAGAGTAAGAGAGAGAGAGAGAGAGAGAGAGAGAAATAAACAACAGAAGGGTGGGCGAGAGAGAGAGAGAGAGATGAAGAGTAACACAGACACACAAACACACACGCACACGCACAACTATACATCTATATTCTCCCCCTCGCAACGATGCCAACCAAGGTTTCACAACTGATGACACCCATCACGCGTCTGAGCTCCGAGAGTCAGCACGTACTTGACGTGAAGAAGACGGGGCGCGCTACCTGTCGAAACGGCGCTGGCCAGCTGGGAACTACAACGGGTGGGAAGCGCGGTTGCCAACATCTGTCTGAGGAACAAATCACGACCGCCAACCACACGTAAATCCTGCGAGCGTGGCCGAAGCTCGGGGCGGAACTTCGGACAGTTTTTCACCAGCGCATCTATATTCATACATCTGGGGGGGGACACAGAAAGAGAGAGAGAGAGAGAGATATATAGAAAGAGAGACAGAGGGGCCCCACAATTCCAGGTAGACTCACATGGGCGTTGTGTTAGGTGGACTTGAAAACAAGCCTGCCTGAAATCTCACGTGTTGACGACTTCTTTGTAAAAGCAACGCTACCTAGCAATAGTTTGGAACCAATCCACGGTTGATATGGGAAGATCATGTTGAGGCAACCAAACACAGAAACTTGAGACGGATGCTGAGACAGCCACCTTGCACCCTAGCACGCTCTGGCTTGGTGTGGCGCCAAGTGCTGTCTGACAGGGCGCCTGCAAGTCTTCCAAAACCTACCCAACCCCAACGCACCGGACGGTTCCGCGTGCATGCCCACCCCCGCTCTCGAGGCTCCCTCGCTCGCGCGGTGCCTCTCTTGGGCTCTCCAAGAGTTGCGCAATGCCTCCCAGCCGGCCCAGGAAGACCACCGATGCCGCCAGAGGTGGCTCAACGTGGCCCCCCCCAGAGTCCAGAGGCACTCAGCAGACCCAAAGAAGATCCAGATAGAAGCCGAAGTGGCCACGAGAATACAACAGGGGGATCTCGAACTGACATTTCCAGCCCCTTCCCCCGAGTTGGCCCGAAAGACCGACAAAAGGTCTCCAAAGAGCGAGGAGCCCAAGATGGGCCCCAAGAGGCCTCCCAAGCACGACGACGACGACGCCCACGATGGCGACGACTGCGACTACGGCGACGACGACGACGCCGACGCCGACGACGCCGACGACGACGCCGACGCCGAGGACGGCGACGACGACGACGGCAACGACGGCGACGCCGACGACGACGCCAGACGCCGACGACGAGGGCGCCCTCCCGCGCCCCTCTTCTCGGCGTGCTCGAGCTTCTCCTGGGGCGCCGGCCCGCGCCGGCCGTGCTCTCGGGCGCGGGCCAGTCGCCCCGCGGCGCGAGGGCGCGCGGGCCTCCCAAGGGGGGAGGGCGGCGAGACGACGCCAGTGCCGGTGCCGCCGCGCCAGGCAGGGGCGTGTGCTGGCCAGAGCTTTGGCCGGGAAACAGACTTTACAGTCGGACTTCCTTGGAGAGGGCACGCGAGAGGACACGAGACCCTTCCGAAGGCCACGTCGCCACTGGAGTGTAAGAAGGCACGCGTCGCGAGGCACAGGACACAAGGGTGAGCTGGCAGGGTCGACCTGCTAATCCGGGGCGACTTTCTACACCAACGCTATGTTTCGGCCCTGCGCTGACGCTTGTACAGGAGAGCGGATCCTGGTGCACACGAGATCAAGGTGTATACGTGTTGCGTTGTTCCCCAGAGAAGACAAGGAACAATAAGCTTACACCACACCATTCCGACGTCGGCTCCGACCCTCAAGAACTCATAGGATTGAAAAACAGCCCGCCACTGGTAATGTATATGCTCCAGTCTCCGAGTTTGAATCGAATCGAGCTGTGTCGACTTCGGTGGACAAGCGCGTCCCACTACTCACAAAGCAGCGGCTCGCAATTGGCCAAGAGACCCGCCCTGGTGGATTCGCCATGCATGAAAATCGAGGCGGGCATGTGATTTTTGTCCCAACCAGCCTGTGGTGCTGGGTCCTCGTTTTGAAGAGACAGCGCCCCGCGTCACCTCCTGCTCCTCCCGCTGCCCCCTCCCCGTCCTCCCACCTCCCATCCCTTGCCTCTGCTCTCCGCATGGTAATCCCATTTTGGCACACCCCTCTCAAGGTTCGTGGCTCCATAGGGAGCTCCACCGAAGGCCCCAGTGGCACAGGCCGCATGCGGGGACCGGCACCCATTTTGGCACGCCCCTCACACGGTTCGTGGCCCCACAGGGGGCTCCACCGAAGGCCCCAGTGGCACAGGCCGCATGCGGGGACCGCACCCATGTTTGCACACCCCTCACACGGTTCGTGGCCCCACAGGGAGCTCCACCAAAGGCCCGAGTGGCACAGGCTGCACGCGGGGACCGGCACCCATTTTGGCACACCCCTCACAGGGTTCGTGGCCCCACAGGGAGCTTCACCGAAGGCTTCAATGGCACAGGCCGCATGCGGGGACCGCCAACACTAATGTTGGCTCGCCCTTCACACGGTTCGTGGCCCCACAGGGAGCTCCACCGAAGGCCCAAGTGGCACAGGCCGCATGTGGGGACCACACCCATTTTAGCACACCCCTCACAATGTTCGTGGCCCCACAAGGAGCTCCACCGAAGGCCCCAGCGGCACAGGCCGCATGCGGGAACTGCGAAAATTTTGGCACACCCCTTACGCCGCTCGTGGCCCCACAGGGGGCTCCACCGAAAGCGGCACCCACAATGCTCTACTCGCAGCTTCATCATCGTTGGAGTACCATGTGGGACTTGCTCTGGAACGGGAACGTACCATAGACGAAACTACCCGTACTCCGACCTTGCACCGCGCCGAACGCAACGGCCACGTTGTCCATAGACGTATCCACCCCAGAGGTGACTATGGACGGCACGGCACCCAGCGTGCCCATGGACGCTTTGGGCTAGGGCGTGAGAACGGCAACCTGGCGTCGGCCCCAGAAACTGGCCTCCTATAAGCGGGCAGGTTCGGCCCTCCCGGCGAGTATGCACTCTGCGAGCAGTGGAACGCGCTCGGTGCGTGGCGACTGCAGGCGCCCCCCAGTCGCCACGCACCGAGCGCGAGAGGAGGGAAGGAGGAGGGGAAGGAGGAAGGATGAGGACTAGGAGGAGAGAAGGAGGAGGAGGAGGAGGAGGAGGAGGAGGAGGAGGAGGAGGAGGAGAAGGAGGAGGAGGGAGGAGAATGAGGAGGAGGGAGGAGGAGGAGGAGCAGGAGGAGGAGAAGGACGGAGGATGAGGAGGAGGAGGAGGAGGAGGAGGAGGAGGAGGAGGAGAGGAGAAGGAGGGGGAGAAGGAGGAGGAGGAGGAGAAGCAAGAGGAGCAGGAGGAGGAGGACGAGGAGGAGGAGGAGGGAGGAGGAGGAGGAGGAGGAGAAGGGGGAAGGAGGAAGAGGAGGAGGAAGAGGAGGAGGAGAAGAGGAGGAGGAGGAGGAGGAGGAGGAGGAGGAGGTGGAGGAGGAGGAGGAGGAGGAGGAGGAGGAGGAGGAGGAGGAGGAGGAGGAGGAGGAGGATAAGGAGGAGGAGGAGGAGGAGGAGGAGGAGGAGGAGGAGGAGAGGAGCAAGAACGGGAGCAGGAAGCGGAGGAGGAAGGAGGAGGAGGAGGAGGAGGAGGAGGAGGAGGAGGAGGAGGAGGAGGAGGAGGAGGAGAAGGAGCAGGAGGAGAGGAGAATGAGGAGGGGGAGGAGGCGGAGGGGGAGGGGGAGGGGGAGGGGGAGGGGGAGGAGGCGGAGGAGGAGGAGGAGGAAGAAAATTCCGGACTATCCTCCCGACGACGGTGTCGTCTCCTCCCACGGGCGCACCCACGCTCGCCCGCGGCGCCGCGGGGCTCCGCTCATGGCGCCACGGGCGTGGACGCGCCCGCCGCTGCATTCGCAGCCTCCAACTCTCGCGTTGCGCCTCCGCGTCGTGTTCGCGGTGCGGCTTCCGCGCCTGCTGCTGGCCCGCAGCCTCCAGCTCTCTTGCAGAGCGGGTTCTCCATGTGGGTAGGAGGGTGTGACAACCTGGGGCTGAATCCCCCCCCCCCCCCCTCCCCGCTGCTTGCTCCTCCATGGTCGGCCAGGCTGGCCCTTCTCCTTTGGCCAGGCTGACCGTGTGCGTCCGTCTTCTCGCCCTCCAGCGCCGTCCTCTCCTCCTTCTTCTTTTCGTGGTGGTCGGCTGGGCTGCTTGCTTCTGCAGTCTCTGCTGCTTTGAGCGCCGCCTGCGCGTGCCACCTTCCCAGCCCCTGCCATCTTTCCTCAAGGCACTCCTCTGGCTCGGGTTCTTGTTCGTCACGTAATGCTGCTCTCGGTGTTCATCAGCTTGCGCTTCAGGATGGGCGGCTCACCATCTGGCGCGGGCTCGCTTCACCTCGTCGACGGAGTGATGGTCCCCCTGCTCGCTCTGGCCCGTCTGGGGCTCACCTTATCCTGCAGGTTGCGCCGCGTTCCGCTGCCAGCGCTCTGCGCCAGCCAGCTCCTCCCAGTGCTTCAGCTTGTACGCCATGGAGTCGAAGCTCGGCTTGCCCGTGGATTGGCTCTGCATCTTGTCGCTGAGGTACTCCGTCACCGATGGCGCATATGCGGCAATATCACCTCTTCTGGCCGCAGAGCCATCTCAGTGGGTGCGAGGCGTGTGCGTCTGCACCGTGGTAGCTGACGCGTCTCCCCTCCTCTGGTGGCGGGCCGCCGCAGCCTTCCTTGAAATGTCCTGACGGTCTCGAAGTCCGTGGAGCTCTGCATGTCCGTCTGGTTGCTGCAGGTGAAGGTCCAGCCCGTGCCTCGGCGAGGTCTGCTCAGAGTGTGCGTGGTGGGCGGCCTCTCCTCTTCCTTCCCGAAGCAGTGTGCCATGATATGTCTCTTCCGCCTCCTCGCTCGGGCCTCCTTCTGACGCGCTCTTTTCACCTTCCTGCGTTCGCCTGGCATTCTGGCGATGGCGTCCTTCGTGCGGATGGCAATGCGAGCTGTCACCGGCGCGGCCGTGGCTCTGGCCCACTCGTAGCAGCTCATCTCGTTCCTAGGTGCGGCATGTCTCTGCGCCCCTCGCTCCGCGAGCTTGTCTGCTATTCGGTTACCTTTCCATGCTTCTCGTGGTATCACTTTGGCAGCGGCCTCCTCCTCCGTCGTGTGGCTGTTCATGTGTCTGACCTTCACTTCTTGGCGACTTTCTCCTCCTCTGGCTCGGAGTGCTGCACGCATCCTCTTCCACAAGTCGCCGTTAGTGTCAGTTTGCTCCTCTCTGTTGTCCCTCTCCTCTCGCCAATCGGTGAAGGTGATCTCGCTGTCGGTCCAGAACGTGATGGGCCCTTCCGTCGCCTCGAGACAGCGGATGAAGGCGAACAGCTCCGCTCTGTTGTTCGTCTGCTCACTTCCTGGGAGGGCCCCGTACTGGCCCGCCTTCACGTCGAAGTTCTCGCGCCTGGTGGTGCTGTCCAGGACGATCCAGCTCCATCCGCAGCGCCTGTATCTGTCGTCGTTGCTGTACTCGCCTCCTGAGCCGTCTCCGCTGGCGACGAGTTCTCTACCTTCTGCTGCTCGAAGTCGGCGTGGTGATTGCGCTTCGCCAGTGCTGACTTCATTGCCCTCCTCAGTGCAGCATGGTGCTGGGGTAGTCCACGATGTTGGTGTAAGGCCTCTGAGCCAGATGATCGGGTTGGTCGCCGCCTCTTCCTGAGCTCTCCTGGCGAGCCCTTCCATCTTCTGATAGATCACGTGCGGTTCCCTCACCGAGCAGTTGCCCCAAATGCGGTGCAGGTCTGTGCCGACCTCGCCGCACTCGCACCGATTGCCCTCGCACCCGAAACGCCTCGCACGCCTGTCCTTTGTCCATGTACCTGCGCAAGCTGCTGTGACCAGCGCGCCGTACTCCAAGTAGTTCCATTTCTCCTTAAGCGCCTCCAGGTGCTTGATAGTGTCCGTGTTGTCCATGCCTCCTTCTGCTCCTCCTCCGTTGTGGTGCTCGGCTGCTTCTGCCCATTGCAGCTGGGTGATGTGGCAACTCTCCGAGGCGCCGACGCCACCGCGCGGGGAGGGCGAGGGGGGCCCGAGCGGGGGGGTGGGGGGGGCCCGAGCTGGATCGAATCGCAAGATCGGACAGGGTCGGAAACGGATCGGAACGCCAGCGAAGCGTCCAAGATCGAATCGAAGTCTGATGAGGAACATCCACGGGCCTCCGGACCGGGCTGAGAGGGGGGGGAAGCCGGGGGTGATAAGGGGGGAGCGGAGCCCCCGATCGCGACGCACCCCTGCCCCGACCCCCACACCCCCATCCGCAAGCCTGATGAGGATCCCCCTTCTCAGGGTGGGAAACGGGTCGGATCGCCAACGCAGCTTGAGTGCCAATTCAAGTCGGATCCACGTCGGCTGTGCGTCGGGTTACACGTCGAATTCACGTCGGGTTTACGCAGGACTGGCGTCGGAACATCGCCCAGCGCACGTCGTCGCATATCCGACGGGGCGGACGTGCGGACTACATAGATAGTACACCTACTGAACGCCGCGTGCGGCCTCGAAGATCTCCCTGATAGGACGTCGGGCCACCGCGCCCGGCTCCCGCTGGCAACTGCCAGCGCCGGTGCATCGAGCCGACTCGAAGTGAATCGGACTCGCGGGCCCCGCCCGCGAATCGAATCGCACCGCCTCGGATCGTTTAGGCGCCCTGGCCCCGGGGGGGGGGGCAGGACGGCACAACGCGCATCCATCCGAGTTGTGCTTTCCATCCGCGGCGCTCGCAAGTCCCGACGCCTTCCCCTGATACGCTCCCTGACAGGGGTGCCAGCGAAAGGGACTTCTGAGACCGCGGCGTTGCACCTGAGACTTCCAAGAGTGCCAGTGGAAGCGTCATGCGGCCACCTTGTGGGCGAAGCCGAGCGAATTTGAGAAATCGGCATCGCCCGTCTCACAAGTCCCTTTCCCTGGGGTCCCTTTTGGAACCACATGACGCCCAGTCTTTCGCGCTGGTCCCATTTCTGATGGTCCCCAGGGCCCGGGAACGCGCCCCCGAAGGCCGAAAGATGCGGGAAAAACACACAGAATGCAACCAAAAGCGCATCGTCGGATACATGAGGACAGCACTCCACACCGATCCCCCCGCCCTCCGACGAAACCTAAACTCGTCATCTTAGCGATTGCCCCTCCTCCTCCTCCTCCTCCTCCTCCTCCTCCTCCTCCTCCTCCTCCTCCTCCTCCTCCTCCTCCTCATTGCTCTTCTCCAGCCTGCCGCTGCTGCTGCCCCTCCTCCTCCTCCTCCTCCTCCTCGTCCTTCTCCTCCTCCGCCCCCTCCTCCTCCGCATCTTTCTGCTAGTTGTACGTTGTGCTCGTCCCCCTCGTTCCTCAACCCATCCTCCACACTGGAGCCCAACAGACCCGCTGGCAGATACTGCAGAGCCCCAACAAGGCCACATAAGTAGACCCTTGGGCACTCCTCAAGATATCCCCGAACCAAACAGACCCCCCCTCTCGAAACCTTTCGAAGCCTCTGGAAGCACCAGAACCTCCCAGACCCTCTGGCGAAAGCTTCCCTACTTCCTCTCCTCCGTCCCCACTCCTCTGTCAAAGTCTCACACCGGACCTCTCACGGGGCACGCTGTGACATGGATTTCGATGCGGGTCCAGCCGTGGGCGGGGACGAGGGCCACGCCGGAGACGGACAGGGACGAAACAGTTCGGACTTCGGGAGGACGGATCATCCGCCTCTCTGCATCTCCCTCCTGCCCCTCTTCCTCCCACCCCCGGGCACGTCCTTGGTGATCTTGTTGTCGTTCTCCAGCTCCTTCCTAGTCTGACTGTCGTCCTCGACCTGCCGCTCTAGCCTGACGCCAACGTCTTCATCGTCGGCGAGGCGAAGGATAATAGCCGCGGCAGTAGCGATCGGACAGCCAAGACGTCGACAGCGACAGACGGCGAAGACGGAGCAGACGGCGACGACGGCGGCGGCGGCGAGTCGAGGAGAGGAAGGCGGAGAATGCGGAGGAGGAGAGAGGGGATGGGGGAGGAAGAGGAGGAGGGTGTGACCCTCCTGGACGTACCGGCGCTCGCAGCACCGAGCACTGGGGAGGGAGAGAGGAAGACAAGTGGCGAGGTGCGGTCCCCGAGCGCCCCGCGCCACTGCACCGAGGGCAGGCGGAGCAGACCTATCCCGGTTCTGGACTGGGCAGCGGAAGAGCGGCACCCCTCCTGATTCCTGATCCCTGAAGGCGTTAGAAGTCTCCGACTGCCGCACCCCGACACTCCTCCTCCTCCTCCTCCTCCTTCGCCTCCTCCTCCTCCTCCTCTTCCTCCTTCCTCCTTCTCCTCCTCCTCCTCCTCCTCCTCCTCCTCCTTCTCCTTGTCCTCCCATCTTCTTCTCCCTGCACCCGGCTCCTCCTCCTCCTCCTCCTCCTCCCTCCTCCTCCTCCTCCTCCTCCTCCTCCTCCTCCTCCTCCTCCTCTCCTCCTCCTCCCCTCCTCCTCCTCCTCCTCCTCCTCCTCCTCCTCCTCCTCCTCCTCCTCCTCCTCCTCCTCCTTCTCCCCGTCCCCCCTTCTCCCTCCTCAAAACCTATTACGATCACCACTCTGCCGCCCAACCTGTTGGTAAGGGCCACATCTGGGCGGCTCCAGCCAGTCGAAACAGCTACAGAATGTTGGCTTAGCATGGCCGATTTCTCGACGACGCTGCAGAATGAGTGACTTGTGCGCGGGGAGCCCGGAGCTCCCATTCGTGGTCGGGGTTCTGGCCCAGTTGCCCCCGGACCCAGTCCCCCGTGATGTACGCAGCACTCCGCAGTTGCAGATAAGAGTGAGGGGGCGGCGGGGGCGTCGGCTGTCTGCGAGGCTCAGAAGAAGCTCGCCGCAGGCGCCGAGTTTTTTCAAAATATACAACGTGCCCGCCGCCTGCGCCAATTGTTTCGTTCAAGAAAATTGAACGGATCGCGGGTGGGTCGCGGGTGGGTCGCGGGCCGGGTCGTGGATGGGTCGCGGGTGGGTCGCTGGTGGTTCGCGGGTTGGGTCGCGGGTGGGTCGCGGGTGGGTCGCGGCTCGGTCGTCGCGGGTGGGTCGCGGGTGGGTCGCGGGCAGGTCGCGCGTGGGTCGCGGTTGAGTCACGGTTGGGTCGTGGGAAGGTCGCGGGCTGGGTCGCGGGCGGGACAACAACAAACAACACACAGCAACAACGAAAACAACAAGTACAGAAACCAACAGCAACACCACCACCAACAACAACAACAACAACAGCAATCATTTTAAGACTGTTCGCTCTTATCTGCTCGCGTGCCGCTCAACATGCATTTCCCAAACCCTCGATACCCACCCTCTTCGTCTTCGAGCGTAATTCCTTGGGGGCATATCTTTCTTACCTGCAGAATGCATTTCGTGCAGCACCTAAATCAGGGGAAGAGAGGACGAATGGAAGCAAAGAACAAGGGGAAAAGAGGAGGATGGAGCACGAGAGAGAGAGTAGCAGGAGGGGGGCTAGGAGCAGAAAAACACGTGGCAGAAGCAGACGGGCGGATCCTAACAGGCGCTCCCAGGCGGCAAGGTCGAGCAGGCGGGTTGCTGAAGCGTGTGTCCCACATGAATCGCGAGGAAGCCTTGAGCGACAGCGCGATTCCAAAAAAATCTTACGAGGGAATCCGCAGCGAGAGCGTGTTTCCTGAGTGTCGAGGGCGCGGCGCCTGAATCAAATGTGAGGACGTCCCAAACGACAGCGCGATTCCTGAGTGTCGAAGGCGCGACGAAGTCCCTAGCGAGAGCGCAAATCTTTGATACATTGCAACGAAGTCCCTAGCGAGAGCGCGATTCTACAATACACTGCGAGGAAGTATCCGGCGGGAGCCGTTGTTGTAATAAACCGGGTGCCAGGGGCTTAGTTTGAGCAGGAAGACTGTCTCCGGAAAAAACAAAGCGAGTCCCGGGAAGGGCATTTCAATTGAAACACGTATGTCACGCGAATGCGTGAATCCCGCATAATTCGCCAGGAAGGCTCGGGCGAGAGCGCGATTCCTAAGTAAGTGATGAGGAAAACCTAGGCGAGAGCCCGATTCCTGAATGGCGAGGCCGTGGCGCCTGAATATATTTCAAGCAAATCACAAGCGAGAGCGCCTGCGACGTGTAGAAATTGCAAGGACGTCCCTAGCGAGAGCGCGATTCCTCAGTAAACTGCGGGGAATCTCGCGCACGGGAACCGTTGTCGTAGTAGTTCGAGGTCAACAGCACAGTTTGAGGAGGATGCTGTTTCCTTGTGTAAAGCAAACAAGGCGCGAGCCCCCAGAGGGGCATTCCAATATCAAAAAAACACACATGTTAATGGAGGGGGGCAACATCACTTACTCGTCAATGATGAGAAGTCAACAGCAACAACAGCATCAACAACCACACCCACAACAACATCAACAACAACAACACATTGTAGTCTAAGACTGATCGCTCCTATATACCCCAATCCCTCGGTACCCGACCTCTTCGTCTTCGGTCGTACCCCCTGTTGGGTATCTCGTCCGCACCTGCCATGCGCATGTAGTGCAGCCCCTGAAACAAGGGAGGATCGGATGGGTGGAAAAGTCGAGGGAGAAGGATGCAGCACGAGAGAAATTAGCAGGATGGGGGCACGGAGCAGAAAACAAGTGGTATAACAACACGGGCAGATCAAGTGGGCAGACCCATAGCGGGCGGGTCGGGAAGGCGGGCCCAAGCGACCATGTCCAGCAGGCGGGTTGCTGAAGCGTGGGTCTTACATGAATCGTGAAGAAGCATTGAGCGGCAGCGCGTTTCCCAAGTAACTCGCGAGAAAGGCCAAGGCGAGAGCGTGATTCCTGAGCGCCGAGGGCGCAGTGTCTGAATAAGCTGCAACGAGGTCCCACGCGAGACCCCGATCTGTACAGACATTGTGAGGAAATCCCGCGCGATAGCGCGATCCTTCAATTCGCCGGCCCAACGGGCCAGGGCGTGCTAAGATCTCCGGTAACTGGTTAACAGTATTAACAGTATTTCTAGTTCGCGCGCGCGGGGCGGCCCCTGGGGGTCCCCCGGCGAAAAGTACCCCGACCAACGCCCGGTCGCCGCCCGACCGCCGCCCGACCGCCGCCCGACCAAGTCTACTCAGAGATGGTTTTCCTTCTGGGTGCGGCCTCTCAGGCTCCCCAGAGCGCGCTCAGAGTGCCCCAAGAGGCCCCCAAGACTGCCCAAGAGGCCCCCGAGACGCCCAAAGAGCGCTCGAAGACGCCGAAGATGACCCCAAGACGGCCCAAAAGGCCCCCAAGACAGCCCAAGAGGCCTCCAAGACGCCCCAAGAGCCTTCCAAGAGGCCTCCGAAGAGAGCCCCAAGAGGCCAAAATCGTTGATTTTCATTGGTTTTTTCGATGTTTTTTGTGTTCTGGCTTTTTCGGCTTCCGGACGCTCCAAGACGGCCCAAGAGGCCCCCAAGACCGCTCCAAGACGGCCCACGAAGCTCCCAAGACGGCGCCGAAACGACCCAAGAGAGCCCTCAAGACGGCCCAAGTGCCGCCCAAGACGGACCAAGAGGCCCCAAGACGGGCCCAAGAGGGACTCAGGAGGGATACCGAGAACTCAAAAATGGAGCCCTCCGTCCCAGAAGGCGCCCAGGAGGTCCCAAAGAGGCCCCAAGAGGCCTCCAAGAGGCCCCAAGATGTCGCCAAGAGGCCCCAGGAGACTCCCAGGAGGCCCAAAAGAAGCCCCAGAAGGCTTCAAACATGTCTCCCAGGCGCCCCCGAACGGCCTCTCAACAGACCCCAAGAGGCCCCCCAAAGAAGCATCTTGACGACGACTCTATTTCGCCCCATCGAGAGACGACCCCCAGGGAACTGCTTCACCATCAAAACTCCCCACGCAACGCGTCCGAACGACACCCGCCCCCAAGAGCGCAACATGGGCAACGAACACACAGACAAAAACCAGCGATGCCATATCACGGGCCGGCGGAATGAGCGAAGCGATTCAATAAATTGTGAAGACGTACCAGGCGGGAAACGCTGTTGTTGTAAACAAGAGGCCAACAACACAATTCTCAGACTCGTTGCTCTTCCTGATGAAGGAGGTGCGAATCGAAGTCCACTTCAATTGAACAGCCACAATGTGCCCCGTAAGAAGGAAATCATCAGTACTTAATATATCGAAAAGATAATGTAACAACAACAACAACAGCAACAACAACAACAACAACAACAACAACAACAACAATCGTTCTACCTGGCTGCTCTAGGGTTCTGTATGCAGCATGCATCCATCATGATAACTCCCCCCTCCTGGGGGATCGTTTCTTGCACAGGGGGTCCGCTATTCCCTTTCCCAGATATCCCACCCGAGGAGGTCTTCACAACACCCCTCCTGAGGCACTTCAGCATCTCCAGCCAGGTTGGCACATCGCCTCCGCGATCGCCCTTCCCATGCTTTGCTTCTAGGTGTCACCGCGACCGAATGGCCACAAATCTTTGGGAGAGGCCCCGCAGCCACTGGGAGAAGCCCCCAGAGCCCCTTGAACAGCCTCTGGAGCCCCGTGGAGGGCCCGCCGAGCCTCTGCGAGAAGCTTCGAAACCCCTGTGGGAATCATGAGGGCCCCTGGGAAATGCTTTCAATCTGAACTGGAAGATTTCGGGCATCTTGAGGGAGGCCTCAAGGCAGTTTTGGAAGAGGCTTGGGTCGGAGGAGCTTCTGGGCCTCGGGGAAGGGAGAAGCGTGGGGAGCAGGAGGAGGACGAAGGGAAGACGAGGGGGGAGGAGGAGGAGAAGGAGGAGGAGGAAGCGGAGGAGGAAGAGGAGGAGGCGGAGGCGAACGAGGAGGAGGCGAAGGAGGAGGAGGAGGAGGAGGAGGACGACGACGAC